TCTAACTTTCTAACCTTCACAGAACCCACAAGTGCTGAGCAGGTGCTGAGTAGGTGTTGAGGTGCTGGAAAGGTGCTGAGGTGCTGAAAAGGTGTCAAGATGCTGAGCAGGTGCTGAAAAGGTGCCAAGGTGCTGAGCAGGTGCTGAGGTGCCAGGGTGCTGGGTGCCAGCACTTTCCCCCTTGTATTTCTTACGTAAATCTACTATAAAGCTTCTATTCAATATAATAATTTAAAATTGTATATCAAATTTCAATCTTTATTAAACAAGATCAAGAAAAACAATCGATTAAACAAATAAGTAGAATTATTCAATTCGATTGTACAATATCAAGAAAACAAATAAATAGAATTATTAGATACACTTTCTTTTGAACGCATAATTTTCATCTGATTTAATAGCTTTTAATAAATCTTGATTAGATAAAACATGTTTATACATTTCAATGCATGATAATGATGAATTTAATCGTATTTTTAATTCAGCTGATAGAAGTTCAATTGTCATACAATTCCTTTTATCATTACATAAATATTTTAATTGTGAAAAAGCTGACTCAACATAGGCATTACTACATGGTAAAGAATACAAAAAACATACGAGTTTCTTGAAATTTGGAGATTGAGTAAGAGAAAACATATACATCCAGAACTGATCAGACCTCACAATTCTGTTTTCTGAATGATCAGCATCATCATCATTTTTTTCTTCTTTGCATTCATTTGTTACTGCTATATCACCTTGTTTATTAATAAACGTCTGAACTAGATTAAAAACTGAGATACGTTGTTGTAAGATTATTTTTAATGTTGATTTTATATTTGTAAATTCATCAAATAAACAATCATCATTCAGACCTTTAATTTTTAATAAATCAACACATTGAATGACTTGGTTCCATGTTAATGATTCAATATTTTGAAAATCAAAATAACTAATCGTTTGATAAAGTGTAACATTTTGATCAAAGTAAGAATCAATGTAACAAATAATTGCACGTAAAAATTCAATAAATGATGTTTTTAATGTTTTTTGTATATCAGATGGTAAACGTGCTAATCTGTATCGACAAGCTGCTCCAAAGAAATCTGAATCAATACGTTCTTGTAATTTACTTTTAATGGATGTGATGATTCTATATAAATCAACTAATGTTATATAAGAGCGTTGTAGCTCAAGGTTTTTCTGATGAATTTCGAACAATATATGTTGTAAACAACTTAATACACAAGGAACTTCATCACGTTCAAAGAATTATTTTATTTCTAATGGACAATTTTCTTGTTCAATAAAATATTTTTTAACAGGTACATAAACTTCAACTAAACGTTCTATAGATAAGTATAAACTTAACCACCTGAGCTTGATATATTTCAGAATCACCTACAATTAAATAAAATATTATAAACTAGGTTAGTATATGATCAAGAATGACTAGTAAGAAATATTCTTACTTTAAAATCTTGCTCATAAAACTCATAGTATTGTTTGAGTTCATTGATACATTTGGTTGAACGTGAAAAATGTGAATAAATAGAAAGTAATATTTGTTCAACATCAATTGGTAATGCACGATGAGCATGTTTAACAGAGTTATGTAATATGTGGCTATAGCAATTTCCTAGAAATATAAAGCAAAAAAGAATTTGATGCCCTTTAAAACACCAGATAGTTATCTTTTCAACAATAAACATAATGTATGCGAGGGCATTTAGAACTATTTCTTCTTGAAGAGTTTAAAAATTAATTATCACACTCACTTAGATGCTCATGATTAATCATATAAAGCTTTTAAAAAATAGAAGACGAAATTACCAACAAAGATATAACTTTCTGAATTAACTAAGACTTTTATACCTTTAAGAATATCAGGTGATTCTTCTTTGAACAGTGAGTACACTGAATGATTTTCACCAACGTTTACATTCGTGTTATCAGCTCCTAATGCTGCTAATCCATTAAAATCTAGATCATTGTCCATAATTCACTGACGTGCATTTACAAATATTCCATTTGCTGATTCGTTAGCATCATCAATCAAATTCACAATTCCTAAAAAGATAAGAAATGAACGAGAGATAACAAAGTAACTAAACATACCTTTTTTAACACCTGATAATGATAAAAATTGTACACAAAAAGGATATACTTTCGTATTTCCTTTATTACTAGCGTCAAAGTGCAAAGAATAATAAAGTGATTGTTTTAAATCATCAAATAAAGATCGAGTAAAGTAAGGAGCTAAAACATTTAATACAATTGATGTTGATTTTGTTTGACCACATGATAAATGATTCGCTACAGTTGATGAAGAAAATATTGTCTTGCAAACATCTGTTAAACATTGTTGTGCCACATATGAATGTCCATGTTTAACACCATGAAAAACAAGAACAGCTTCAGCAGCACAAATTTCATCTTTTTCTTTCGAAGGCTTAATTGTATCAGTTATTAATTGTTGATTCACATTATACGATTTCATATTCTTCTCATGTTTCTTGGTCTTCATATGATTATCTATATCAGCTTTTCCACGATAATGTATTGAAAATTGTTGATTACAAACAACACACGTTGCTTGAGATGAATCAAACTTATATTCTTTTAAAAATACTTGATATTCACTAATCTTCAACCACTCTCTATTAAACACACCCTTTTTCAATTTCTTTTTTTTCTGCTCAACTCCTGCTGATGCTGGTGATTTTTCAATTGCCAAAATTTCAAGTTTATCTTCTTCAGTATTACCATCTTCATCACTCATTCTTGCTGTCTTTAAATTATAAATATTCACACTATTCACTTTAGTTATTTATATTCGTTCAACACACTCACGAAAGAATGTATATGTTGATTTGTACGAATCAGATGAATAATAGAAATTATGACAAAAGAGAAACAGGTAAAGAATGGAATAAATATAAAAGATATACATTCGATTCTTTTTAGCCACTAGAAAACACGAGTTATAATTGAAGTAAAACTAGGATAAGATAGTAATACGAGTGATTATTAATAAAAATTTACTTTTAGAATTCGAAAAATTATCATTCAGATGAGAGTTATTGATTAAAAATATGAATGATCTAATATTAAAAAAAGCAGAAAACTCTTTAAAAAACAGAATTTTTCTGCTAAAAGCAGAAGAGGTGGCAGCACTGAGCGTTACGTTGTTGTGTGAGAGATATAAAAAAAAATATAGATAGATAAATAAAAAATAAAGTATAGTTGGATAAAGATCTCACAACTTCCTCCTCAAAAAGAAAAGATTTCGTACGAAACTATTTTAGAATGCTTACTGAATCAACGTCAATAATTTTACATGGAAATGTTATATATTCTCCGTCTGACATAGACTAGATTGAATGTTTTTGATTGTTGTATGTTGAATGTATAAGGGTTTCAATGATAGATTTATTGGTGTAGCTATCGTTCTAGATGTAACAATATACAGTGAGGGCCGAAAAAAGCATGGACTTTTTTATTTTTACACATAAACGAATATCAAGAATATTCTAAAAATTTTCTCTTATATCTATTTCTGTAGAGCTTTTTACGCTGATCATTTTGGTAAAAAAACTTTTTGATTTTCATTGAGTAATGACAATGTTATAGTCAAAATACTAAACACTGCAGTAAAATGCAGGGGAAAAGTAGAGCACATTTTTAGTGTTTGGCTAATTTTTACGTTATTTTACAACATCTGAAAGTTGTTCTATATCCTATTCGATGCAGAATTTAATGGGCCACATTTTGCTAAAAAGTAATTATACTTATATTGTGGTTAATTAATTAATTAATAATTAATTAGTAGTTAATAATAATTAGCAATTACTTAATAAAATTTTGAATTTTTTTTTCAAATTCCAACTCTACCATTCAAAAGAGCGTAAAAAACTGAACAAAATTATTATTATCATTTGGAAAGCAACAAATTTGGTGAGGTTTTAGGGTGATTTTCAGAGTATGCTCACTTGTAATTAGATATAGTGTTCATTATTTTTAATAACTTCAGTCATAAAATGACACATGAAATACGCGAAAACTGGCTCATTTTAAAGAGCATCATTTGCTCTTTCAAATGACATCTCACTGCTTCCTCTGCAATATTCTATATAAATGTTATAAGGTCTTTCGAAATATACAATGCAAAATAGCAAGGGTGTGTGGGTGTGGGCGTGGATGTGAGTGGGTGGGTGTGGGTGTGGGTGTGGGTGTGGGTATGGCTGTGGCTGTCGATGGGTGTACGTGTGGATTTTTCATCCATACGCATCCACACTTACACCACCCACACCCACATCCACACCCACATCCACACCCACACCCACATCCACACCCACACCCACATCCACACCCACACCCACATCCACACCCACACCCACACCCACACCCACACCCTAGGTCAAAATTTCGACATCATGGAGTTACCGCTTTTATCGTTTAGCCATTGACCATTTTGATTTCTATTTATACTTTACACCAGTTGAATGCGATTTCCTTTCTTTTAACAACATTTTTATCATATTCATTTTTTGACCTAATCCCTGAGGGGGCCAGGGGTAAATTTTCGGACAAAAAAAAGTTCTCAAAAGTTCATGAAATTCATATGGATCGACTTAGTTTTTTATGCTGATTCAGAATTTCAGATTGGTTCTGTTAAATTCTTATTCTTCGAATCAAATTTTTCGAAATATCAGGCTAAAAATCGTTAAATCATGCCAGAAAACCAATATGCATTGACTTTTGTGAAGTTGGGAGTGTTTTTTCATAGATGTCTTTATACCATTTTGTAGCCCAAACAGTTGTGAATCAGACGTACTAAAGCTTTTCTCCTTAACGTCAACTATAGATTTGAAATATTTTGTGAAAGAATGAAACTCTACCACGAAAAACACATTTTTTAGTGATTTTAGGAGGTAGTATCATTTTTGATGGATCTCATCTAGATTTCAATCTTTTTTCATTCAAAATTATACCAAAATGAAGAGAAAAAAATTCTCTTTCAGAATCACTAGTCATAGAAATTTCAGAAGAGATAATTAGTAAAAAAATCTGAGGTGATCCGAATTACTCCAGATAAGTTTTCAACATGAAAACATTGGTGTCAGTGTTATGAATGCTGTGTTACAAGAGTACATCGATTGACCGAGATATTTTCAGGTCCCACAGAAGACATTTTGGACTATCGAATGGCATATTTCTGATTTCATAGAAATCAATACGAAAAGAGTTATGAGATGGGAAAAAAACGTACTGTCGTTTCTGCTGGAGTGATCCGAATTACCCCATATGGGGTAATTCGGATGATTTACTATGAAAACGCCGAAAGAAAAAATGTCGAAGGAGAAAACGTCGAAAAAAAAAGATCGAAAAACAAATGTCCAAGGAAAAAACGTCGAACGAAAAAGATCGAAAAAAAAAAACGTCGATCATATAATATGTCGAAATTTCTGAGATGTCGTTATTGACCAATATTGATTTTCTTTCCTATTATATTTCTCGCGTTTTCTTTCGTATTTTCTTTTATAGTTTCGTTGATTAGCTAATACTTTTCCTCCAATAAGTCATTGCATGAGTGAACATTCTAGAATATCGAATAGACACAGAATATAAAGAAAGCAAAGAAAAAAAGAAAAATCGAGGTATTGTCTTATGACCGTATATATATTTCGCTCGCTTTTAGACATTCTAATATATATTTCTTCATTTTCATTTACAAATTCTTCGGTTGTGGAATGTCCAACAACACAAGTTCCATATCGTTTATTTACTCCAACAAAGGTGGTTCTCAACTGGTTCACGATGGTTTCGTATTCAAATTGAATAAGAAGACATCAACAAAAATTTATTGGAAATGCACAGTGACAAACTGTCCGGCGCATATTCATACGGATATCAATAATAATTTGCTAAACACAACTGGTGAACATAATCATTTGCTTGAACCGGAGAATTTGAAGGTGAAACGATTTCGAACAGTTCTCAAGGAACGTGTGATAAACGAAACAGTACCAATACAGAAAATCTATGACGAAGAAATTGTCAAAGCAAATTTTTCACCAGAGATTCTTGCATCAGTTCCACTCGCTCACCACATACGTATGACTATAATTGTTCAATTTTCGAACATATCTTTATATTTTTTTTTATTTAGAAGCAGGATTGAATCAGGCACGAAGAAAATTAACGCCAACATTACCTACATCAAATTCATTCGATATTCCTGGTGGATATCAAACCACAGCCTCTGGTGAAACTTTCTTGATTTGCGACAAATTGGTTTCTCGGAAGAAAAGAATGTTGGTTTTTGGTAGTCCAAAACAATTACAATTGTTATTCGACAGTTCTATTATTTTTCTTGATGGAACGTTTCGAACAACACCACCGTTTTTCGACCAGGTTTTTACCATTCATGGTTTGAAATTTGATTGTGGTACGATATACATCCTGTTTCATAAACAATTAACTATAATTCCTGTTTTTCAGCTTTTCCATGTGTATTTGCCTTATTACCTGATCGAAAAAAACCGACATATCAACAATTATTTAAAGAATTAAATGCTGTTGCTGTATCTATGGGTCGAACATGGAAGCCTGAGCAGATTATGTCTGATTTTGAAACCAGCTTGATACCAGCAGTATCTGCCGAAGTAAAAAATTTCAATCACTTTATAAGACATATCTGTTTTTCCTTTTAGTTTCCTGAAAGTGCTCACAAAGGGTGTCATTTTCATTTTAATCAGTGCCTATATCGACGTATCCAATCTCTTGGTTTAGCCACGGCTTATTCACATGATGAGTCAGTTCGAAGCTGTTGCCGTAAATTGATGGCATTACCATTTTTACCAATTCAAGAAGTTGAAACTTCTTTTTATAATTTACGTGCAACAGCAGATCCAACAGTGAAGAAACAACTTCGCGAATTATTTTTATATTTTGATGATTATTGGATTAATAATATACCAATTGAAATGTGGAATGTTCATGATTATCAACATCGAACTAATAATATATGTGAAGGTATATCCATTCCTTCTTTTACAACATTAGATGAAAATGTCTATATTTAGGATTTCACAACAGATTAAATCGACGAATGGGACGAGCACATGCAAATATATGGTCATTCATCAGATGCATTGTTAGTGAAGAAAGCCGATTTCAACACTTATACGTGCAAATCAGTACAGGTGCTAAACGTCGACCAATTTCAAGTTCTACTAATGGTATTCAAAAACGTATCGATACTCTTATGGCACGTTACAACAACAACGACATCGACGTTGAACAATTGTTGGATAACTTATCATTGCTCATTGCGAAAAAAACATAAACTTTATATTAATCACGCACATCTGGACCTATCGAATGATTCATTTTTTATAGCTATTTGTCGTTATCAATAAACGTATTTTTCCTTTTTTTCAATGAAATAAAATAATTTTCATCTAGCATAATTTTTCATTGATTCGACATTTTTTTTTCATTCGATCTTTTTTTCTTTCGATTTTTTTTCGTTCGACGTTCTTTTTTCGACATTTATTTTTCGACCTTTTTTTTTCGACTTTTTTTGCTTCGACATTTTTTCTTTCGGCGTTTTCAATACATACCCTTCGGATCAGCTCGCTACTGCTTCTGCCATTTTAACTGATACTTTTTCTCAGTGCATGATTTTTCGGAGATTCTTTCGTCAGTAGACAGAGGACACTTTGAACTACTTATGCTCCAAAAATCACTGCGAGATGATATAAAATGTCTGAGAACAAGCGAAAATAAAATAAAATTTCGGTTTTGTGATCCGAATTACCCCAGAGGACTATATATTTCGGTTTTCAGTGAAAAGTGTCTTAAATGTAATTGCTCTCTTAAAAGACCTCTAGTGTTTCAAAAAAGCAAAATCTAGAAATGGCTTTGATACCAATGTGAAGAGGGCATGTCAGGGTGCAAACCTAGCTAAAAAATTCCCTCGAAACAACTCGCTAATTTGCCCTTAATTTCGTCGACTAAAACTGGCCTGAAAATGTGCTTCGGGAGACCATTTTCACACATAGACATGTGCCCCCGACTGTCATCTATTGAACGCTGAAAACCGCAGGTCACTATGACCTTCCATTCAAAAGTTATAAGCTTTTCTTCCACCTGCCTTCTTTGAAAATTCCGATACTAGGAAATGAATTTAAATAGCTAGGATTCACTTGGAAAAGTATACTATCCTTGAAACTAACGACTGATTGATATATAAAAAACCTAAGGTAGTTGAGAGCAAAACATTTTATGTCTACTAAGGCACTTAGGCAATGTTTTCTCGCATATTCATTTCCTCGTTTTGCATGGATTTTCCGTTCTTTCTCTTGCTCCCCGAATCACATGAGCAGTTAATGCAGCAGAAATTCTGTGTTGGCCTTCGACTGGTGCGTCGCTGTCCCCATGTCTTAGCTCATAATCTATACACTAAGACTAAAGAAGTTTCATTAGAACTATACGTTAAACACTGTATTTAAAGAAGACTAAAATGTATGAACACAACAGATATTGATCGTTCACCCTTATATAGTGATTTTTTTATTTGGGATGAATTTCATAAAAGAAAGAAGGATCATCTTGGTTAGTTTTTCCGTACTAATCGTGTAAAATGATTAACAGAAAAGCATGAATCACTTCTCTTAAAATGGCTATCATTTATTGAAAAGAACTAATGGTATACCAAAAAAGGGCATGCCTTACTTTTATTTGGCTTTGAAATGCATACGTAATACTTCTTTGATTCACCGCTTTTCTTTTTTTATGGGCTCCTTTTATTCTCTTTTAACTCTTCCTTTTCGTTTCATTCCTTTCTTCTTTCTTTTTTTCTCTATTTCTTTAGTTACTCTCTTTACCCCATACCAGTTGAGTTAATACTCGATATAAAGATATTGGTGGCGGCAGTAAAACTCACTGCATTTATGTTGTTGATGAGTGTTTAAATACCTTCAGTTTTCCTTGTATTATCATGTAACCACTCCCGAGTGTTATATTCAAGAACAAAATAAAATAAAAAATCTGTATTTATTGCATGCAATGCCTAACATGAACAGTCGACGTTCGGCTAAAAGAAGTTCCGCTATACAGATTCGGCCAATACATATCTACAACAAAGTAGAGAGCCTTGTTCTGGTTATGGATACAGCTCTTTAAGAAAATCTTTATTTCAGATAATTTCTTTATACTCGCAGAACAAATATATGCAAAACACATTTTTCTTTGTTCATTAGAATGAATAGTAATGCGAAATATTTAATTTGCTTCTTTATTGTTTTTTGAGGGCTTGACAAATTCTTTGTATGTACCAAAAAGAACATCAAAATTAATTAATGCCGATCCATAATTACATTCGAATGCTGCATGATGCAAATAATGAAAAGATGCAGCACCAGCTGGATCGTCATAACCATCATGAGCACCAATGGGTGCAATATCCAAATGAAATTTAGTATAAAGAAAATGAAGTGGATGACACGAAAAAAGAAGAGGAATATAAGCAGATGTATAGTAAAAGAAGTGTTCAAGTGGATGCATAGATAGTCCAGACCATGGGCCAGGATTTCGGCTGCGATGATGAAGACTATGAGCATGACGGTACAGAAACGCACCAATATCGCCTTGACGTAATCCATTTCGAACTGACCACCATGGATGCATCAAACGATGAATCTGTGAAGATTATCATCAATTTACAATTAAAAATAAATCATCTAACATACCCAATAAAAATGAAACTCTCTCCAAAATGAAATACCTAAAAGAATAAAAATTGAAAAAAACGGTCGTGACCAAAAATCACTATAGTAAGGCAATTGACCACTAGCCCACAACCACATAAAAACACATTGTACAAAAGCTGAGTGTGACCAACCAAGTGTCGTTAATGTTATTTCTCTTAATAAATGACTTTGATCTTTTTCTTCATATGGATTAGCCGAATTATATTTTTTTTCATGTAAGGGTCCTTTAGGATATGGACTCATACGTGCATAAGTCATCCAATGCCAAAATGGATAAACAATAAATTCACAAGAAATATTAAAAAGGAAAATCTGTGATACCCATTTAATGTGCCATTCATTTGCTTCCGGAAATGTTATTGGAAATATCCAAAGCCAACATAGAAGTGCGATACTAAACTCAAGCGCATGTTCTAAATGATACCCAACAAGGTTATCAAAAAGTTTTTGTTGCCATTTAGACCACTGCCCATACGTTCTGAATATCAGCGGAGCAGAATAGTCTGTGCGACCTGTATGTAGACGATGAATTCCAATAATATTGCGAACACCAAATGTCATTTTGATAATATAGCTTTTTACACTGCGTGTATTGTTTTCAAAATATCTACCAACTTATTAGTCGTACTATTTATATTCACTCAGATAATAACAACAATAACAATAAGAGTCGCATGCAATGCTCTCTCCTTCTCCTCCCTTCTTTTTTTCTTGTATACCTACTTCTAACGGTTAACTACGGTTATCATATGATATTAAAAGTCAATATATAAAAAGTGCAGATAAAAACAATAGAAATCGAAGTAGTCAGCCTTGTACAGACACAGTCAGGTCGGAACTCTCCTGAATTACAAAACTCAAAGATAATCACACGGTAATCATTTCTCAATTATAACAGAAAAAAAACTCAGAGAAGTGCAGCAACCAGTGGTGGAGCCAAGAGGGTGCTATGAGGGGCTCGGTCTCTTTGAAAACTTTCGAGCTCTTCCTAGCACATTTTTTGAAGCATGGATTGTATGTGTCAATGGAAGCAGAACTCCTACATTCGCATATTTGAACCGCTCCCACCCCCACCCCACCCCCAGGTTAGAATCCTGGCACCACTACTGCCAGCAACAGAGAAGTTCGAGAATTAAAATAGGGTTTGTTTGAAGAATAAATATCTCTCATCGATTTTCTAATGGTTGGTCGTCTCCTTTCCTAAAGGAAAAGAGTCAATCACATAAAAGTATGTCTATCCGGCCAAGCAGAAAAGAGCTTTTCTATTTTAGGGTTTCCGATCCTTCTGAAGAAACTTCACAGGTTATCGAGGGCCAGGAACTCGAATTCGGAGTCAAATTTCCAATGTAAGCTTCCGTTGACATATGACTCGGCCAACGGAAAAAGAGTTTTTGTGAATATGGTTTCCTATGAGTAGTCCTATCCAATGAATTCGAATACAAACTTCATTTGTCTGAAAATCCTATTGTTAAGTGAATAGACTAATCAAAACTGTTTTACGACAAGTTCTTTCTCTTGAAAGAAAGAGGCAATACTTGTGCTGAGTGAAGCTTGGTACGATGTGAAATGGACAAGAAAATGAACTAGAATATTGTGAATATCCAACAGTAGGATTTTAGGGATCGGTTAATACTGTTGTGTAGGTGTGCGTGTGGGTATGGGGTTTAGGTGTTGGTGTGGGTGTGGGGTGTGGGTGTGGGTGTGGATATGGGTGTGGGGTATGGAGAGTGTGGGAGTGAGTTGCGTTTAGACATGACATCCACACCCACACCCACACCGCGTTACTTGAACATCATTTAAAAATCGATTTTTTCAAAGAATTTGATAGTTTACCATATAATTGTTTTCATAATTTATGTCAAATATCGCATGATGGACAATATCAATTTAAAGAGTTCATAGGAAAATTACCATTGCTTAATGCTATAAAAACAACAAAAAACAAATAATATGTCTAACTTTTATTTTATTTTACTGAGATTAATGTCTTTACATGATATAATAAACATCAAGTCATGATCAAGAAAACTTATTATAGTAAGAAATTAATGTTGTATATAAAATTATCCAGAAGGAATACATAATGAATGTTAGTAAATTTCAAATATAAGTTTGAAGGAAAAAAATATTCATAATATAAAGAAAATTATAAGTAATTTTGACAGCTTTGATCCGACAAGCCACAAGCCTTGAAGTGAAAATTCAAAAGTACAAAATATCGCATATGAAATTATATGAATACTTTAGTAACCTTGATTCACGAGTAAAGTAGAAGAATTTTTAAAATGTTGAAGTTAATCTTGAAAATCAAATTTGTTTTATAAATACCATTATTAACTAATTTTCGTCTACTAATAAGGCTCTAACACTTCTAACTGTCCTTTTGATTACTAATAAATTCTCACTCATTAGTGTTGGTGTAATATTCGTTACTTATAAAAGAAAACTAGACATTCGTTGCTGTACGACATCTACTAACGAGCAAAGGAAAAGAACATTGGGACAACCTGGTTGGATGTTTTAAACATACAAATCAGCGATATCGATCTTTCTAGTAAAAACGAGAGGTGAA